AACTCGCTCTGTAGACCAGGCTGGCCTCGAACTCACAGAGATCTGTCTGCCTCTGCCTCCCGAGTGCTGGGATTAAAGGTGTGCGATTCTTGCTGAAAGGTAAGTCAGACTGCATCTCTCTTTGTTCAGAACTGTCTGACACCCTCCTCTGCATCAAGAGCAAAGCCCAGTTCCCGAGTGGCATGGGATCTCTCAGCTGACCCCATGCACACCTCTCTACCAGCTGTGTTACCTGAACATTGCTCATCGAGTGGTGCCTGCCCAATGGACCCGTGCTTTTCTTGTAATGGTGGCTCTGTTTGCTGTTTGTTTCTTCTGTATTGGACTTAAACAGAAAGACTCCATGTTTTGTCAACTAACATGGTTTATCAGCTCCATTGACCTGACGGCCAGGAATGAGAACCCTTCCACTTTAGGGGTCCAAAGGGGTGCCCCTGAGGGCCACTGCTGTTCCTAGCACACTGAGAAGCAAACCTGGCACAGCTGTCTGTCTCTGGGTGATAAATGTGGCTGGAGTAGCCCACATATGCCGCTGGCTCAGATGCATCCTTGGTGCTCAGAGACCTGCAGTCTGGCCCACAGCAGGCTGTGGAATCTACACAGTCTCAACCCCCTTGAAAATCTGCCAAAGGATGACCCCGTTTCCCAGAAAATTGAGTTCTCTCTCTCTCTCTCCCTCTCTCTCTCTCTCATTTTTACAGTTAATTTCAGAAAGAAACAAGATGCCCCAAGCCCAGTTTAGTCTCAAGGTAAGAGACCCTGGTTTGATATCTGCCTTACTGTTTGGCAAAACAAGTCTTATCTATTTAAATGAACCAGAGGCTTAAATGTAAAAGATGACAGACATTAGAGGAATATCCCAGGTAACAAAATGCTAATGAGATGAATTGACAGACAATGAACATTTACAGAGGCATGATCTGAAATCCAGGAGGAAAGAAAGCCATGCAAACAGGGCCTTCAACCGGACCTGTACAGGGAAGGGGACAAGCCCCTGGACCGTCTCTTTTCCATCTCTGTCTTCCCATTTGTCTGTGCCCACACTCTGTGGGAGAGTCCTGAGCTTACCAGAGCACAGTAGACCACACCTTCAACCAACCCCTGTCACTTAATTAAGATCCCAATGAATTTCCTATCCCACTAGTTTGTTTGTCTCTGTCTCTGTCTCTCCCGTCTGTCTCTCCTGTCTGTCTCTCTGTCTCTCCTCTCTCTCTCTCTCTCTCTCTCTCTCTCTCTCTCTCTCTCTCTCTCTCTCTGTCTCTCTCTCTCTCTCTCTCTCTCTCTCTCTCTCTCTCTCTCTGTCTCTCCATCCATCTATCCATCCATCCATTTATTTATTTGTCAACTTGACACAAGCTAGAGTTCTCTGGGAAGAAGAACCTCAATTAAGAAAATGTATCCATTCAGAATGCTCATTGGCAACTGTGTAGAAGATTGGTGTGGGCCGGTGCCACCTCTGAGCAGGCTGCCCTGGGGTTTTTTTTTTTTTTTTAAGCAGGTTGAGCAAGCCCCAGAGAGAAACCCAGTAGCAGCACTCCTAATGGACTGTGATGTGGAAGTGTGAGCTGACATAAATTTTTTTTCCCCAAGCTGCTTTTGGTCATGGTGTTTTCCCACAGAAACGGAAACCCTAATTAAAACAGTTTCTTAACAGTTTTACTCAGATATAACTCACATGAGCTATGGATCATGTATCCAACACAGGAGTCTTAGTGTATTCCAAAATCTATAGAGCTGCAAGCACAGTCACTTTAGAATATTTTTGTCAATTCAAAAGAAGTTCTGTGCCCCCTCCTCCCGCTGACAGGCTCAGACAGCCACAGACCTTCTTTCTATCTTGAAGATTCTCTGTCCTAGACATTTTGTATAAAAATAATCATTCAGTGTAGGGTTTTCCCTTAGCATAACATATTCAATTTTAAATCATATTGTAGTATGCATCAGCATTTCTGAATTTTACTGCTGGATGTTCCATTGTATAGAAACACCACAGTTTTCTCCATCTACCAGCTGATAAATATTTAGGGCTATATGTTATAAATAATGATGCTGTGAATGTTTTCTTTGAAAACATGCGGTGGTTTTTAATATTTATTTTATGTATGTGTGTGTGTGTGTGCCTGAGTGTGTGTACGTGTACCGCATGCATGTAGGTGCCCTTAGAAGCCAGAAGACAACTTCTGTCCCATCGAGCTGGAGGTACAGATGGTTGTGAGCCACTTGATATAGGTGCTGGAAACTGAACCCAGGTCCTCTGCAAGGGCAGCAAGTTCTCTTAACCCCTGCAGAGGTCTTTCTCTTCAGCATTAACCTAAAGAGCACAGATGCTCTGAGGAGTGGTGCTCAGGGCACTCACTTTTGTACATGCATAAATTGTGTGCATCTGTGCGTGTCCCTGAATCATAATCTTATGCAGAAGCAGACAAGCTTGAATACTAAGTCCCTCAGAGTGCTTCCCATTGGAACCTTCTGGGTGATCCTGGGACTTGACTCAGTGTTGGTGTCCAAGGGGAGTTATATCATCCCCAGAAGGAAGGTGACAATACAAGCTTGTGACCCTCACAGGGCAATGTGAAGATAAATGACAGTAATCGAATGGGCTCTACTCTTTGGAAGGTCAAGTCCATATGAATAGGCTATATGCACTCCTAGATGGAGGGTGTTGTCAGCACCAGGGACCTGCTTCAACTCAGAGGCCACAGCTTGTGACTCGAGAGCACGGATGGTATAATTAGTCACTGTTTATTCAAGATGTGGTTTCCCTTGAGATTAGAATATGGTCACCTCATGAATCCCTGATGCTACCCCTAGAGAAAAGCCTGGCCCTTTTCTGCTTGGCCATGCCGGGCAGGATAGGGCCAGGAGAAAGGGAAGGGTCACATCTAGTGACCAGTGCCTACAGGGGCAAGCTTGCATTCTAAAGCCTAATTTCTAACTAGTTCTTGGACGTGTTCCCCCACCTGAAATAGCACAGCAGCAGGGCATGGCTGGCGTTTGCGTTCACTGTGAAGACTACACTGATGGTGTTATAGGGTCATCACATGCATTCTGAGCTTCACCAATGCTTGCTGGGGTTATATTACCTTTAAAGCCAGAATTGAGGCCCATGAGCAGGCCAATTTTTTTGTTGGTCAGTTAGTTGAACTCACTTAATTGGATATCACCTATGTGTCAGATACAAGAGGGCTGGGAACAAAACTTAGACTTTCCCCCAAGGATACAAAATTCAGGTGGGAAAGAAATGAAGAATTATGAAGTTTTTGTTTGTTTGTTTTGAGACAAGGTCCCACTGTGTAGCCCTTGCTGGCCAAGAACTCACTATGTAGACCCGCTAGAATTGAACTCACAGAGATTCACCTGCCTCTGCCTCCCAAGAGCTGGGATTAAAGGGGTGCGCCACTGTGTGCAGCTCCTCCTGGAGTTCTTAAAGAATGCATAAACAAATACACAACAGTCCTGATGTTGCCAGTCAGGTTCAGAGAAGACGGACAGCAGAAGGATCCGGAAGGGTTGGAGAAGGCCACAAGGGAAGCAGTGCTCTGATGTCGGCAGTTGCCAGGCAGGGTGATTTCAAGCACTGCGGTGGGGTGGAGGGAGGGTATGGGGCAAGGGAGGGGAGGGAGCAGCAACACATATGACACAGGCAGTGAGTGACAGCCCACAGAAGCCAGGGTGTGGGGCAGAGCTGGCTGTGAGCCGGAGTCAGTTTTCTGATGTTAGCACCTTCCACGGGGCTCTCTGGGTATGACGAGCCAAGGCATCTTTTAGTGACCTGTTCTACCAATAATTATTATTCCCCTGAAACATCTTATTAGTGATGAGTGAAAGAGGGAGGGAGACCCAAGTTACCATGGCAGAAAGAGCCACACAGGGGCAGCTGTTGGTCTTGGCTCCTGTAAGCACCCCCTTCTCTGCGGATGAACACTTTGATTGCCTTTGGGGAGCCGCCCTCATTGCTCTCAATCCGGGTGATGTTGGAGAAGATGACACCTGCCCCATGGCAGCCACAGAAGCAGTCTTTTCCACACTGGGTCTACGAGACACAGGCCTAAGACCGGCTGGAGCAGTGTGTCGGTGGAGTGTTAGCTGAGTTGCTGGCTGCCATACTGCCACCATCATGACAGGTCCTTCTGGGGACAGAACATCACAGGGAGCCAAAGGCAGAGGATGGAGAGAGAAGGACTCGGGATGCTATCACCTTCCCACCTAGAGCCAGCTTTCAACATGAGGGAAAAATGCACCATCTTCTTGACCAAGTCTTTTCAGTCTTGGTTTACACTGTGATCATTAGAAGAATCCAAATTTGTGCAAGTACATGGCTCCTGTTGGGGTCTTGATGACATCTCCTTAGCATGGACATATGCAAGCCATTGCCCAGGGTGGCCTGTGTCTGCAGTAACCAAACCCACGTGCCGGGGATAGTGGCATCTGTGCACATCCTCAGGGGGCATATATCCATGTGATGAGTCTCGGGGTACAGGCTAGACCAAGATGTAGACTGCACTTCTCTTTCTCCCTACTCTGCTTACCAGTAACTCTCCCCCAACTCTTCTTCTTTCCACCCTTCCTTAAAGAAAGGAGCTACTTATTCTATTAGGTATATTTTGCAGGACCCTGAAATACCAGGGAGGAGCAAGAAACAGAAGATTTGCGAATCTTAGTTTTGTTTTTTGTTTTCCTTTTTGCCCATCAGGGGAGAATCAGCTGTTTCTTTTGTTTCCTGTTCTGTGGTATTTTTTTTTTTAGAAAGCATTAACTTTATAGAGGTAGGATTTGGCCAGTCTACAGTTTCCTGGTAACCTCTTCTTGGATCTAAGCACAGACAATTCACTGGGTAGGAATCATTTCCTGCTTGCTGGCTAAGAACTAGTCCTACATAGTTCTTTTTGGGGCCGAATTTGCCTCTGAATAAGAGGCAGGGATCTTTACAGACTCCAGCCTGTCTTTGACCAGGATCTGGGGGTTGGGGGGGGGCGAGGAGCAGGAGCGCAGGCACTCACCTCTGTCTCTGTTGTGGGAGCCTTTCTTTCTGGGGTAGTGGCAGCTGCTGCAGTCACTCTGGGCTCCCAGGACGCTGCAAGTAGCCTGCTGAGAAAGGGAGTTTCCATTTACCATTAGAAGGGAGTGTCCATCCAGAAAAGGAGGCGAGAGATGCCCTTATTCCCTGGAGGCTGCTGGGCCACTTGCTTTCTCTGCTTCTCTCTCTTTGTGGTGTGAATGGAGCCAAGGACACACGGACACACGGACACACGGACACACACACACACACACACACACACACCACCACCACCACCACCACCACCACCAAGGGGAAGGCTGAGTGAAACCATACACCCCACTGGCCCCTTAACAGGTGGCTTTCTGCCCTTGGGACCCTGGGAGGAAGGCAGCAGAAAGGGGTCGCAAGGCCACCCTCTGCAACCCCTGAAAGACCGGCTGGCACGAGTTTGTCTGCAGAAGGCCAAGGCCAAGAGCCCATGCACTTTGTTTCCCCTGTCATGTGATTTATTTTTGGACTAGACACACAGGCTATTTGGGGGCTGGACATTTGCCAGGTGAAAGGACAAGTATGTTGGCCAAGTTGTGTCAAAGCCCTGCTGGGAACTCGCCCTTCCCCCGTATGAGATAGAGGGGTGGGGGTCTTGCCCTAAGCAACTTTTGCAGCGCCCCAGCCGCCCTTTGAAACTTCACAGAGCAAGCGTGTAATGGAAACTGTCTTCATTTCTGCACATGAGGTAGGTGGGTTCTGAGGCTGGTGGCCATGTCACGTGACTGTCCACACTAGTTCAACCAAGGAGACCCTCTATTCAACACAGGGCAGAGCCTGAGACTGGAAGGCATTCTGTAAGCCCGGCTCCCTCCATTACTAAGTGCACAGTTCCCCCTTGCTCTGCTGACAGCACCTGTCTCCTAGGCTTGTGGAACATAACCTGGGAGTGGGTTGATTTCTCGCCTCCCATTTTTCTTCACTGAACAGGAGTGGAGTGCTTGACCTGAAGGCACCCAACGGAACCTCATCGTCTTTGCTGTCCTGGCTTCTACTCCTGGACTCTTGCTGAATGCCATCTCTCCCCTGCCCCATTCCCTTTAATCCTCAAGGCAGCCAACCCTTTCCTCTGTGTGACAGCCAGGGAAGCCGCGATTCGGAAAGTCCAAACCTTACCTTCAGGAAGGTTGAGGTATGGCTCCAGACTGTCTGTCTCTGGAGCTGGCGCTTTTTTGACCATTTTGCTCTGCTGCCTTCTCAAGTAGAAATGCTTGAGATTTTGCTGCTCTTTCCTTTTCAGAACAGAAAAACCAAGAGCTTCAGGGGTGAATCAGACCCATTAATTCAACCTTCGATTTTATTCCCAAATTCAGTATTTGAAGGGGAGAAAGAATAGCCTTTTTGTGTGTTAACTGTCCCAGGCCGAGTGTAGGTACAGGATGGAAATCTCTGGTCTCCCTTGTCCTTGGAGACATTTCCCTATGAGTAAGTCACTGTGCAAACATTAGAGCAAGCTGCCTTGAGCTGCCAGAGGCTGGGCTCCCAACCAGTCTGAGCCCAAGTGCCCAGGCTCTTGAAGAGCCAGAGGTAGCGCTCAACTGCCTGTCCAACACTGCCCTCTGCAGGGCTTTTTGTTCCATTACACCAAGGTGATTGTCTACCAGCTATCTCGAGTTTTTAGAATCCTTTTCCAGGTCCTCAGAAATTACTTTGCCTGGGAACGTGCCTATGTGGGTAATAATTCTTCTCCTCTTGTATAGAAGTTGAGAATACACATCTCCCTTACAGATCTGAGTAGGGTGTCTTCACCCAAAACGGGCAGGTTCCCTAATTTTCCAGAAGCTTTCTTTGATGATTTAAACCAATTTTCTTTAATGATAAATTAAGCATTTCCTTCTTGAACAAACTTTTTCCCCATAAGTTCACTACTGAGTGATAAAACTGCAGAAGCAATTCAAGAGAATATTAGGAAAAGACCCCCTCCCATGTGGTGTGTGTGTGTGTGTGTGTGTGTGTGTGTGTTCATGATGTTTAGTTATGGTTAGTCACACGAACATGGGTGAGAAATTATGAGATCATGAACAACTTCCTGTTAGGCGTACCACTGAAGAGACTGCCTGCCCTCCTCTGGTAACTTCCTGGGGGGTAGGAAGGTGGAGATTTGTGGGCCCCTCCTCATACATGTCAGAATGCTGTCAGTTCCAATCTTGTGCATGTTTAATACAGGTAACTGCAGCAGTTGCTGCTTCATGGGTATAACAGCCACGTCACAGTGGAAAACAATTCATTCCACAGCTCCCCTCCCTGTCCTCTGACTCTTACATCCTTTCTGCCTCCTCTTCTGCCGCATTCCGTGAGCCTTGAAGTGGTTGATATAGATGTCCCTTAGCATATCAATTTTAATGTACAGGGAGCGTGTTTTTAAAGCTGTTTCAGAAACAGAGCAAAAGTTCATGAAGCTTGCTGTTCACCAGGGCTGACTACTGCTGCCTTAGCATATAGCAGCAGGCCATAATCTGTTCACTGAGCATCTACCCTCTGCCAAGTCTTTAGATAGCAAATATAAAAACAGTGGGCAAAATCCAACTCGTGGCATGCTGAATTATTTGCCATGATTACCTTGAGGATGTTGAGTGAAGGAAGCAGGTTAATAATTACTCAAGTGAGCCATGAGAATTCAGCTTGGTTAAGTACTAACAAAATGGGTATTTAATGCGGCAGGGATGCACTCTGGATTTTGACCCTGGGAGCCAGCTTCATTCACAGTGAAAGGAAGGAAAATGGCTGGCTCGAGAGACATGAAACCTAAACCAAGAGTAGTACCCCAAGAATCTAAACAAAATGATGGAGAAACTTCAGGAAAGGGGCCCCTAGACAGTTAAGAGAAAGAGACTGTCCTGTTTGGTTTCTTGTTGCTGTGATAAAACACCAACCATGAGCATATGATTTTGGAGAAATTCTCACCGAATTCCTAATCATGGTTACCTCTAGAGGGCATGAGAACCAAGCAAAAGTAGTTGGGTCACTGGTGGTGGCCTTCTACCTAATCCTCCCCTCTCATCCTATTAGAGTCTCAAAATGCATGCTGTCCATCACTGCAAACATCTAAGCATCTCCAGGCACCTACGACTTTCAACCTCAAGGGCAGCATCTCCTCCTTATTGTTAAAGGGAAGGTTCTTCAAGTTCACCTGCAACCAGAGCCAGACGGAGGTGGCACATGCCTTTAATCCAAGCACGAGTGAGATGGAGGCAGGTGGATCTCTGAGTTTGAGGCCAGCCTGGTCTACAGAGTGAGTTCCAGGACAGTCAGGGATATGCAGAGGGACTCTGTCTCAAAACACTAAAAACAAACAAATACATAGATAAAATCACCTGCACCGAAGTTTGTAAGTTCTTCCTGGGGTCTGCTTTCCTTATCCCAGCCCCTCTTCTAACCAGCTTACCTCCTTACCCAGGAAGAGCATCCCCCACCCCGGCCCCGCCCATCCTCCATCTTTAACTCAGGAAAGAGCAAGATATGCTGTGGTTATGAATACTCTACCAGTGACTTGAAGTAACAAAGGCTGGGAAATCTTGATTGTCAACTTGAGATACTTGGATGGAAACAAGCCTCTAGATGTGTCTGTGAAGGTGTTTCCAGAGAAAATTCACCCAGGGCTGGAAAGATCTTCCCTCTGTGGGTACCACGTCTCCCTGGCAGCCCAGACGTGAAGAGGTGGAAGGGGGCAATGGTGTCAGCTGCCGCCTTTACTGCTCCACGAGAAAGTGCATCTAGGGATGCTGTGCTGGCCTCCATCAACAGACTCAGCTTCTCCATCAACAGACTCCAGCTTCTCCATCAAAAGACTCCAGCTTCTCCATCAACAGACTCCAGCTTCTCCATCAACAGACTCCAGCTTCTCTGGCCTTCCAATGTGAATTTCACTCTCCAGGAACTGCACCGGCCTTCAGTGTCAGATTGAGACTGCTAAATCATCCAGCTTCATAGACTAGGCAACTATCGGGTCTCTGTCTTTCCAGAACTCCAGCACATAGGTGGCCATTGTTGGACTACCCAGACATATTATAGAAGCCAAATCTAATAAGCTCCCATTGCATCACACACACACACACACACACACACACACACACACACACACACACGTACATGCTCATGCATTCCATTGATTGTGTCCATCTAGATAACTCTGCCTCTGCTTAATACAATCACCAGTATGGACACATCCGTTTGCAGTTGGCTGTAGGACTGGCTCCGTGCCATCCTCACTCAAGTACTTGGACTGAAGGAGCTCAAAAGCTATGCTTTGGGGAAGGAGAGAAAAGATGCTTACCAATACGCTGAAAGTTACTTCTCACATTTCAGTGGCCAAAGAAAGTCATATGTGTGACTTTACTGTACAGAAAGTGAGGTAGGACATTTCAGGGCTGTTGCTTTCTTGTACAGTTGCTATGCCATAAATATTTAGAGAACATGAATTCTGTAATTGTTGGGTCCACAGAATAAAGTTTGCTAAGCTTGTTGAAATTATATATATATGTACATATATATATTTCACATTTTATATATATTACACATATAATATCCGTACTCATCTATCTGCTCACTGCTGGTGACTTTTGTCAGTGTCATCTTTATACATTTGAAGCTGTATTATATGGTGTATGCAAATTTTATAACCATTGGGAATTAACATTTTTATCATCATGTATTCCTCTTTATCTACATATTGTTTTTAGCCTAAAAGTCTACTTTGTCCAGTAGCACTATAATTCCTATTAACTTTATTATAATTTTATTAGCATTTATATTACCATTCTATAATTTCATTTTAATACAAAGTTTCAGACCTTTTTATGAACAGTGTATAAAGTTTTACTCAGTTCTATGATTGACTTTTAATTAAAGCATTTAGTTCATTTTCATTTAATGTAATGGCCAGTCCTCCTAGACTTAAACCTAAAGTACTTTTCCTCTTGGTCCTGGGAATTTTATACCCAGAGTTTTTCACACGCTAAGCAAGTGCTCTCTCACCGAGCTACATCCCTAGCCCCTTTAATTTACTTGGAGACAAAGTCTCTTTAAATTTTCTAAGCTGACCTCAAACTTATGATCCTCCTGCCTCAGTCTCTGGAGTAGCTGAATTACAAGCATAAACCACCACTCCTGTCTTTAAATTCCCATCTTAATGTTTCTTTTACTTCTTTATTTTCTTTGTGACACGGTTTTGATGTATAAGCCAGTCCTCCGGCATCTGCTCTCTTAGTTTTAAATTACATTTGTTGTGTATGTTCTATGCTTTTTTTTTTTTTTTTTTTTTTTTTTTTTTTGGTTTTACGAGACAGGGTTTCTCTGTATTGTTTTGGAGGCTGTTGGTCCAGCCCGGCCTCGAACTCACAGAGATCTGCCTGCTTCTGCCTCCCGAATGCTGGGATTAAAGGCGTGCGCCACCACCGCCCAGCTTGTTCTATGCTTTTTTATTCTTCCTTTTCGCTGTCTTTGCAGCAGTTGGATATTTTGTTTTTGGTCTATTATGTTGGAAGTTCTGTATCTCTTGACTGTTCTTTGGAGGTGGCTTCAAAGATTACAATATGAGATCACGAGTTCTCAGTGCCTAATGTTAATTGGCACTTTTATCTTCTTTCATAATATTACAAGGACCGTTGAACAATTTCATTCTCATTCATTTAACCCTCTCCTGATTTATATTTGCTTCTAAGACATTTTGATGTGTCTTAGACCCCAGCAGACATTGTTATGTTATGTCTCTGTACTTCATTTCCATAACCTGTCATCTTCAACCATTTTGCTTTTCCACAAAGAACACCCTTTAGTTTTTGCGCTGGTAAGAGTTCCTGAATCTATTTCTTTTTAAATATCACTGGGTGTAGAATTCTAGGTTGATGGCTGGTTTCTTTTCTCACCTGTGTTGTTTACATTTCACTCATTTCTACTTTCCTTGTTTCTGCTAAAACGACGGTGGCTATCTGTAACTTCTATTTATGTTTGGTTTTATCTATTTTACTGTACTTGAATGGGGCTTTTAAAAATGTGTCCCGCCTCTGGCTCTCTGGGCTTTCAGAATGTGTCACTTGATGCCTTTAGTCCCTGATGGCAATGTCTCGACCATTTTCTCTTCAGCTATTGCTGCTTCCCTGCTCTTTATCACTTCCTTCTAAAACCTTAGTTTTCATCTTTTACCTGTCTTATTTTCCCTATAGCAGTTTTACATCACGTTGTTACTCTGTATTTATCCTGATGTTTTCTTCTGACCTATACCTCCCTTCAGCTGTGTTTAATATGTCAAGCTCCTACATTTGGTCACTTGGTTTTGTTGTCCTTTGTTGGTTTTGAGACAGGGTCTCTTTTTGTAGCCCTTGTGGGCATGGAACTTGCTGTGTGGACCAACTGACTTCAAAATCACACAGACCCACCACTTCCGGCTAAAGTTTTGTAGTATTGTTTTTTAGTTCTGAATTCCTATTTGGGTAGCTTATCAAATTATCATCTTTTGAGGATTTTCAGATCTCTATCTCTTGTCATGTGTTTTATCTCATTTATTAAACACATCTTTACATGTATGTATTTCATGTTTATGTTTGTGCACATGTGTGACCACATGTGTGCCGGTAGCACACACAGAGGTCAGAGGATGACTTCTGGGAGTCACTTCTCCCCTTCTACCATCTGGGTCCCACGTCATCAAGGCTTAGTGGCTAGTATCCTTATTCACTGAGCATCTCACTAGCTCAGCCATAGTTATTTTCAACTCTTTTCTGCTAACTCCAAATCACTATAGTCCTCTGGGACTTTTTCTGTCATAGTTGTTTTTACTGGAATCGCTTCCATATTGTTTTTTTTTTCATGTGTCCTTCGTTATTTTTATGCATGCTGAGATTGTATGTGAAAATTGTTAGTGGAAGTAATGAGAGGCTTATTTGGGTGTTATAGGATGTTATTATATTTCTCCAGAGAGTATTTACGGTGCTTCTGCCAGGCACCTGGGAACCATAGCAGTCTGGGATCACCTCGTTCTAATTTGATGAATTAAGTTAATTGGATGTTGGCTGAGGCTTTGCAAAACCCCGTCTGCTTCCAATTCATCCAGTCCTAAGGTACAGTCCTATGGGAGTTCTGGCCCAAGACTGGAGGTTACAGGCGCTCCCTCATTTGGTAGGCACTGTATTCCAGCTTTTCTCCATTGACATATGCTGAGCTGCAGTCTGACTTCTCTCTTCCTGAGTAGTCTTTTCCAGAAGGAATAAATGCCCCACCCACTGGGCTTGCGGCCCCAGGTGCCATCATTTGAAGACCCCTTTCTGGTGGCTCTTCAAGACCTCTCTGCCTCTGATGCTTTTGGGAAGATTTCATTTTCAGTTTGTCTGCTTTTCTCGTTGCTGCCAGTCAGCAGGAGCACAGGTCTGACATCTTTAGTCTGCCCTGACCAGATGATGGGTGACGTACATCAAGATGCAGCCAGGTGTGTGTGCAGCTGCACTTGAGGGAGTCCTGGATGCTGGGCTAGGTGTTGACCTGGCGGCCAGGGGGGCCTTTTATTGCCAGTTGTCAGTACAAGAAACAGAAAAGGAAACACGGGCTTTTAAAATACATTCCAAATTCCAATACTGGTGCAAACAAACAAACAAACAAAACCCTCTCAGGCCAGGTGTGATGCCCCACACCTAGAAAGCCAGCTCTCACCGGACTGGGCTGCACGATGAGACCCTCTCTCAAACCCACAACTAAACAACAACAACAAAATAGCTATTACCTAGTTAAAAAAAAAAAACAGTTGGGGTCATCCCCAGTCCAAGACATCAGTTTCAAGTGTACTAAGGATAGGTTCAGTTGCAGGGAGAAATGAGGGCAAGTGGGACTTTTTCCTATTAAATTCCAGCCTCCCAGGAGTAGGGCTGCCTGAAGTAAACACCAGTTCCCAGGCAAAGCATAGTTTTTAAGTTAATTTATGTCTGGGGGGCGGTGTCCATTCATAGTACCAATGGCATTTCTGAAAAAAACCCCTTGCTTGTCTCCTAATGACAGCCTACTATCTGTTCCACTCCTGAACCTGTCTCCAGAATTCCCACCCCATAATTCAGCACCCCCTGCCTCTGTCTCCTTTATCCTCCCCCTGGCCTTCTGACCTCGTCTGCTTTTTCAGAAGAGAGCCCTTCCTTAGGTGGCCCTGTAGGCCCTCCCACCCACAGAATGGCATCTCTCAAAAATCCCTTCCCTGAGTTTCCGTACTCTGCAGCAGAAATGTACCAGAATTTAGCTGGTGGAGACTAAGCCCCCCTCAAAGGAAATGGGGTGAGGACACTGTTGTAAATATTCTAGAATGCCTGTTTTTTTTCTGTTCCACAGCTGTGGCATCTGGGGTGATTCCACGATTGATACCATTTCAAAGGAGGGAGAACCCATTTCTAGGAAGTTTTGGCACTGAAGTGAGTCCTTGGTGGCAGCCATGTCCCTGTTATTCCTACTGATAGGTCAAGGTCCCCTCCCAAGTCATCATACCTTCCCCCAGCCAGGCAAGACTGGGAGGGAAGGGTGACTCCAAGAGAACTCAAACTCACATTTTCCCTCATTTGTCTAATAATAGAAAGTCGGCAAAGCATGTCACAGCATACAAAGTATTTGATAAAAATAACGTCTGTTTGGTTTGGAGTAAAGCAGGAGGAGCATGAAAAATGTAATCTATTCCTGCCTTGTGTGTGTGTTCCCATCTTAGAAGACCCATTCTGTCTCTCTCCTTAATTAGAGATATTTCAAATGTTGCCCTCTGCGGTCACAATGGCTTCTCCTCCCAAGGACTGATAGAGGAGGCTATCAGGCAAGGAAGGCATAGACTAGGTGCTGGCTTTTCACTACCTGCCCCCTGCTGTCAGGACCTCCCACACCAGCGAATGAGCCAGTGGGGATCCGGGAGATGCTGTTCCCAACAGGAACAGGATGTGGTCCTGTCTCATGGGGTGGGGGCAGTTAGCCTATGGCTGGGTGTTCCCCCTTTCCCGCTGGGTACACCTGCACATCTCAGAGTCCTTGAGATTGGGAGGTTAGGTTGTACAGTCTGCAGTCCTTCAGGGGGCCCCGGGTCCTTAAAGTCCACTCTCAGTGGGGCCCTTCCAATTGCACACACTAGGATGAGGCTGGAGGACCTGGGGAGTCTCACGTGACTCAGTTTGGAATTCGTTGGCAGATGGGTGGATGGTGAAGTAGACATAACACGGTTTACAGTTTAACTGCTTTTAAATGTACATTCTCATAATTACGCAACCACAGCCACCCTCTGTCTCCACAAATCTTTCATCATTTCCAACGAAAACTCCCCACTGGCTGACAGCAACTGCTCAATCCTCCTAACCCCTTGGCTCCAGGCAGCCACCATTCCCCTTGGATTCCCCTGGGGAGTCAGGAAAGTGGAATCAAGTGGTGTTTATCCTTCTGTGTCTGGTTTACTCCTCTTAACCTGATGTCCCTAAGGCTCACCCATGTGGCAGCATGTGGCAGAATTTCCTTTCTTTTTAAGG